GCAATTCCTCCGCAATTGTAACGCGTATCGATATTTGTACATACATAACATATTTATATAATATAGTGTCTATTTTAATTTAATTAAATTGAGAGTGATTTTTATTACTTAAATCCCACACTTATTATTTTTGCTGTGGGAATAATAAGTTCTTCTCCCACGGTGTAAGCTGACCCCTTCTTTGCGATTAACAACGAAAGCTCATAAGAAACTTGGGTACTAGTTATGTTTTGTTTTGAAGATTTTTCCATAACTGATTTAGTTATAGAAAGATTTTTTTTCTTGATTTGAAAAAAATCGAGAGATTTTCCTACACATTCAGGATGTTTAGTTGATAAATGCCTTTCAAGTTTTAAAAATTTCATACATTCGTTGGATAGCGTTTTGAAACAAATCACACACTGCGGCATAGGCTCCTCCTCGTACCAAAAAATACAAACCCGATTTTTAAAAATTCAGGGTTATACTTACGAAAACGTATTTTAGTTTTCTTTCTTTTATTCAAACTTGACACATCAACAATCTCACTACTAGTTCCACTATTACTAGTTCCTTCATCATTTGACAGCTTCGTCTTAGGACAAGACCCAGTTTGAAACCAAGTATCCATATTTATGTGTAGCGTAATTAATAATATGTACTAAGACACTAAGCTCAGCGTTTTCAATTATTCCAAAAATATAAATAACCACACAATCACTTCCGGTATTTCTGATAGCCGCGATAGTGATGGGTTTTGAGTAATAACTATAGAAATCATTTTTAAGTTTTACTTCGTATAATTTTATACATAAAATAAAAAATAACAATTTTTTTTGTGTAGATATGTCACATAAAAAATAGGGGTAGGGGCTATGTTAAAATAAGAGCTTATTTTTTTTTTTTTTTTGAGGCGGAAAAATTTGATTTTGCCTAGTGCTCTGTTTTTGCATGGGCCGGCCCTGCTCATACAATCATAATGCACTCGACAGAAATTGTGATTTTCCGGTTTGTATATCCATATAACCATATAGTAAATAGTGTACTGCAGATATGTATAATATGTTAATTGAATGTAATAAATTACATCCAAATACTCGTTAAACGAAGAATTTGTAAATAATTTATTCACATTAATGCAATAGCTACTTTATAGAAAATATGGCATGGTGGCGGCCTTATAATTAATGGGCACAATCGAACCAAATACATTATGTAGGTACGTGATACAAGTACATTCTATAAGCATAATTATAATAGAGAGAAACTATTCAAATATATATTAACAAACCGACGAATAAAAGTAAGTATAAATGTATGTAGTTTGAAATTCAAAAAAGCGGGCATTAAGTAATAAAAATGTCCATGACATTTTTCATTATAAAAAAGAAAAAGAAAAATTAATATATAATTAATAAAACTATAATGCCAAGTGACAGTAAAAAGTTGACAGTAAAGTTGGATGCCACACATGAGTTAAAATTTCTAGCATAGTTTTATCAGATAAATAGTCTGTTTTAGAAGATCGATTATATGAAATGTATTAGTGATGTGTCGTTCACGAACGAACGGGTCGTATTGAACGGGTCATCGATATGAACAAAAAGATCCGGATCACTAAAACCCGACCCGGTCGTTCGTCAAATATTTTTTTGTTGGTTCATTGGGTATCACTGAATGAATTCTAGATATTGGGTATTTGTATACGTATTTTGGTATCAGTTATCTGTTTTATTTTAATAATATTATGGTGTTTTAATGTGTCATTCGCGGACGAACGGGTCATTGATATGATCCCTGACCTGTTGTTCCCATTTCTACGGATGAGTAAATTAAACCGAATTCAATCATTAAACTAAATATTCAGTTCAATGGTTCTGTTTCAGTATAAGGCATAGGTTCAAAACATCTTATCAGATCGCGAACTGGTTTTTTATCCGGATCTTCTTGATGACCTGATCTGAAAGAATCGGATCACTTAGATGAACCATAATTCCCATCTCTAAAATTTTTGACAATAAATACCTATTATATTATCATGGCATTATAATTAATATACAGAATTATATTCCCACGTGAGGAGGGGGGTATAGACTATAGCTAGATGGTTCAAATTTAAAATTACATTTGTTTCTAAACTGTTTTTCCTCATGGCCGCGTTAAATAATAACTATGGTTTCAAAATATTATAATTTCTAATTTTTATTGTAATAAATAAGAATATTAATTCGTTGTAATTTTAGTTTATGTAACGTGATTTTATTAGTGAAAATATGCTTATATAGACTATGGAAAGATATTGTTATATTATAATATTAAAATAGTCCATAAAAAATGAAAGATTTAGGACGATAATAAATTATGAAAAAAATTAAATATTTAATCAAAAGTGTTTATTAAACACAAATACTACTAGATATGAAATAATATAATTTTAATGTCTATGCGCATTCACCTCAACATTAATAAAACGCATTATGTTGCATTTTACATATTTTTAAGGTTTAAATTTGATTTATTACAGTTAGTTTAAAGAATTTTTCAAGTATTGCTTAAAAACAAAATTTTTCAACGGCCATTATCGAAATGGATTATTAAATGACTACCAAAATGAAACCAATTATTATTTCCCGCGAAAAAAACAACTAATATAATTAAGCAAAAATTACGAAAATACGAGGTTATCTATCGAGAGAAATGTACGATTTAACTAAAAAATGTTCCCTTTTATACCTACATGATATGTACATAGATCTGGTAATAATTTTAATGGATTTTACGGGCGTCCGACAGTTCATTTTGATGATTGCGCTATTAATTCAATTACGCAACTGTGGAAACAACAATAAATTTAAATCAACATATCAGCATGTTGATTTAGTAGGTTGTTAATATTGAATTATCGCAGTAATTATATTATTATTACGAGTCGAGAGAAAAATTAGAATCCAAGTGAGCAAGAGAAAATTCAAATTATTGTTATCAATATTATTATTATTACTATTGCGAGTGTTTGCGAAAGCGTTATGAATATTTGTGATAACCACCAATTGATAAAATGGTAATGGCTAACCGGTGAGAGGAGGAGGGGCCCATCAGCAATACAATTCCAATTAACGGGAATATTCAAATTAAAATGTCTATATCAAAAGCGATCCGATCAGTTTTAAGACCACACTCGAATTGGCCATCAAACAACGTGCTTGCCATCCATACCGTTAGACGCACGTATACTGCAGTTAGCATTACTAACGACGACATGACGACTGACATCGCAGAAGTAATTGCTGAGACAACTGCTCCTTTATGGTCGCCTAAAATGATTGCTTGGCAAGCTCACTCATATAGCACCATTGATGACCTGGTGCTTACTAGCAACGCCCGGTCACCCCTAGTGGTTGGACCCAGGGAATTATTGGTGCGTGTCAAGGCTTCATCAGTCAACCCACTTGACGTTCTTATGGCTCGTATGTAAACTAGTCCAGTCGTTTGAGCTTTTATCAATTTGATATTTTCATAATAATTTTCAGAGGGTTTCGGTCAGGTACTTTTGGGTACCATTCGTCAAGCACAAAAGTTATCTCTTCACAAACCTATGGAATTTCCCTTGACATTGGGACGAGATTTTAGTGGTGAAATCATTGCCAAAGGAGTTAATGTTAAAAGTGACTTGAATATTGGTGACAAAGTTATGGGTGTCATACCTCCTTTCCATCAAGGTTGTCATGCTGAATTTGTTGCTGTTCCTGAAGGTCTGGTATGGTTCAAAATATTTATTAATTTTATATCGTAGAAATGTAAAACATCATGTCTTATATATATTTTAATGTTTTGTTTTTCAGGTTGCTAAAAAACCAGCACACATGACTAGTGAAGAGGCCGCAGGTTTATTGTATTCAGGCTTAACTGCATGGTCTGCTTTAAAATTGGCTGGTGGCTTATGTGTTTTAAGTGCTACTGAAAAAAATGTACTTGTCATTGGTGGATCTGGTGGTGTTGGTAATTGTGCTGTACAATTATTGAAGAATTGGGGAGCTAAGGTACTTCTAACTCTACTAAATACTAAAATTTGTTTGTAACTTGATATATAATTTAGTTACTTAAATAGTTTAAAATCAATTGAGTTCAATAAATTAAATAATTTTTTTTCATGAATCCTTAAACTCTGAAGGTTTAACATCTAGTTTATTAAAACTTGAAATAACTTCATGAAGATGATTTTAAAAAAAATGTTTAACTAAGTAGAAAGAATATTATCCGAATGTAAATAATCTTGTCCATTAATTATTTGCACCACAAAGCTTTTTAGTTTATTCATCTGTATAATATCTTCAATTTACAAAAAAAAAAAAAAATAATTAATTTAAAGTTTTAAGTACAAATACCATCTATTTTATTATAAAATGTATGGCATAAAAACCTCCCTGATTTTTAAAACTTATAAATATCAAACCAAGTCAAATATCATCCCCAAACTGTGGAAAGCAATAACCCAGGAAGTTTCTGCCATCCCACTTGAAATGACTTGTAAAATCATATAAAACTACCAAAAAAAGCTTTATTAATGTATTTTAAATAAGAGCAGCCACTTAAGTGTTGTAATTTTTAAAAATAAAATGACATTATATCTACAATTTATAATTAAAATATGTATTATTTGACTTGGTTTGGTATTTATAAGTAAAATATTTAAACTCATGTTCGTTGTATATTTTTAATCACTGTTTAATTTTTCGCACCTCCCTTTATCTCAATTAGAACAAATAACTATGATCTATCTAACTAACAAATGATCTATAATAGTATATATAATAATAATATTTAATAACATTATAATTTTTTACTCCTTTAAATAAAATTACAAGGTGGTTATAATTGTTAATTGTAAAAATTGTAATTTTAACATTTTACATTAAATATTGTACTTTTTAATTTGTGGTAGTAAAAAATACTTTTGTTTATGCAAAATGTAGAACTTAATTTTATCTTAATATAATTATATATTTTATCAATATTTTTATTTAAAATTATATTTAGGAGAGGGAGATAGTTAATTTTGTAGAATATATTTCATGATTTGATGGTGGCTTATGAATGTAAGAATAATTTTAATTAAATTGATTTATTGGAATGAATATAATGCCTTTATTATTAATAATAAATTTAATTCTTAATTGAGTTATAAGTTTATTTGGTTATTAAATAATTTAACGTATACATTTTTCAAATAGTTGTCTAAACCTATGCTAGATCCATTTAATGTAGTGAAATAAATAAAATATATATTTATAGTTTTTATGCTATAAGTTATAATTCTTACACAAATTTAAATAAAAATTAACGGTAGTTAAAATTATAATAACGTGTAGATCTCACCTTAATAAATAGAGGTAAAAGTGACAAGTCTGAATAACTATAGAATAATTATTTTCAGAATTACAATAAAAATATTAAAAATTCTGCGCATTTTACCATTGTTTTTTTAAATTCCTGTAACTTTGTCAATTTTGGACTTATGAAGTTGGTTAAGTTACCAAAAATTATTAAAAAATGAGGCAAAAATTAATTAGTGGTTAAAATAGGTGGTTGCTATTTAAGAAGAATAAGATGTACTGTGCATGCGCATGTTTAATTAAGTTAAAAAAAAATTTGAATCATTCTAATAATAAAATTTAAGTTTTTATATAATTAAAAGAAGGTTTTCAAGATATAATGATTAAAAAAATATATATATATATCAAAGCTAAAGCTAATTTAAGTCTTATTATATTGTTTTTATTATCTAGGTCACTACTACATGCAGTACAGATGCTATAAATCTAGTGAAAGCTCTTAGGCCAGATAATATTATAGATTACACTGCTAAAGATGCTAAACAGCAATTAGAAAATTATGGAAAGTAAGTACATGTTTCAATATATTTTAGTAAGAACTGAAATTTTTAAGTTATTAAAACCCCCAAAAAATGCACTATAAAATCTTATAAATAAGTATAAAATACCCTTATTAACATTTTAAATTTATTATAGAATAACATAAATTTATGTTATGCAAATAAATGATAATTTTTAAATTTAATATTTATAATATATAAAATCTAAATTATTACACTTTCACTTTCTAAAAGTGCATTTTTTTTATAATGAGATATCAATAACATTGATCAATATTAATCATTACATTTTATTTAAAATAGTAGTTATGGACGATTTTTAACAATATTGAATATAATATTAAAAAATACTACACTTCTGATACATATTATGTCTTTAATTGATATATAAGTTTAAAGTAAATACTGTAAAAATATACATTTATACATAATTGTGAAATAAAATGTATGATCATAATGTATTTATTTTTTTAAGTCATATTGTTTTAACAACTAAAATATAACATATAAACATATAAAATTTATCATGAAAACCTATGAACAAGTTTATATTATATAAAATTAAATTTGTAAATATTAATTAAAATCTCTAGTTTAATTTCATTAAATTATTTTTAAAGCCTTTATATTTATGAATTGTACCATTTATAAAAGAAAAATAGCTGTTAAATTATAATTATCACAGTTTATATTCTAAAAAATATTATATTTATATTTAAATTCAATAACAAACACATCTACACATTAAATTGTATAACTAATTACAATTTCAAACTATTAATTATAGTTTGGATTAGGTTATTAATTTTAAAATCATTAGAGGTGCATAATATTAAAAAAAATTATTTTAATAATTGATACATACCTTAAACATTTAATTTTAATGGGAGTTGGTAAATTGGGTCCCAAATGACTTTTTATAGGTAAATTGAGTCCCACAAAAAAGTAGACAAAACAAATTAATTTTATTAATAATATACAAAAAAAAAAAAAATTAATTAAAAGTATACATGTTATAAAATATAAAATATAAGAATTAATTAATTATAAATTATGCGCTTAGTAAAAACTTAAATGATATAAACTGAGCAAACTGAAATTGATTTATTATATTATTAGTGTACTGTGTCATTAGTTCCTTAGTTTATATTTTTTATCCAGCATATTTTTCTTTTTTTGATTTGTGCTTCGTAATTTTACTTATATCTCTAACTGTATTTCTAATAACTCGTCTACAAAGTTAAAAATACTAGGATGTAAAATCTAAGGTTTAATCGTGAATGATATGATTCACAACTATTGGTTGTAAGCACATTGGTAGCAGAAAATCGAGACCAAATATTTAGGGGAAATTTAGTATACTGAGTACTCTGAGTATACTCAGAGATATAATCACAAAATATCCACCGATTACTCCTTCTAAGTTTAGTAATAGCAACCCATCGTGTCTTAAAATATGACCTATTAATTCATTTCGCCTTTTTTGTATACTTTTCCACATTTATTTCCTCTCAGATACCCTTCCTAAAACTTCTTCATTAGTGATTCTGTTAGTCCAACTTATTTTTTCCATCATTCTGTAGCACCGAATAATGTACATATTTTAATTAGGCGTAATCAAAGATTACATTGACATATTATCATTGAAAATCAATCAGTTATTTGATGGGACCCAATTTACCTACTACTTTTTTTCCCCGGGACTCAGCTTACCGCTTTTAAAAAATACCCAACTTATCGCGGACCCAATTTACCTAGCCCCATTTTTAACTTCTGATTTCAACAAAGTAATATTGTCATTATTCTATAAATAAAATAAAATGAGATTTTTAAATATTATAACATGACAATATTATGTTATCAGGTTTCATTTTAATTTATTATAATTATACATTAATATTATTATCAAGGAGTTTTAAGATTAATATAATAAATAATCATAAGATATTCAAATTGATACAAAAAAAAATCTTAATTCCAATACTTATTATGCATAAATATCAAGAGATTTAATAGAATATAGTTTATCTCTAGTTATATAATTAATGATTACATTTATACTAACTATATACTTTTTTTTTTTTTGTTATTATTGTAGGTATGATATAATTCTAGATGCTGCAGGAATATCTTATAATAAAATCAATGCTTTTATGCCTTTGTTGAAAGGTTGGTCATGCTCTGCATTCATTACACTTCGTAGTCCTATTTTGCACAATACAGATTCATATGGCTTGGTAGGAGGAATGATTAAAAATGCAATTGATCTTGTAGTCCCAAATGTTTTATCTGGAGCAGTCTTTAAAGGTTCTTCAATACGGTGGGGTACTTTTATGCCATTAGAATGCGGTGTCAGGGAATTGGCACAGCTAGCTGAAGAAAAGAAAATGTTTGTTCCTTTAGAGAAAACTTTTAAATTCATAGACCTCAAGGATGCTTATAAGAGAGTACAAGAAGGGCATCTCAGGGGCAAAGTTGTTATAACGTATGATAAACCAAGCTTAGATAAGGCTAGATTAACCAATTGAGTTTTTTTCATGATGTGAAGTTTTTATATAATAATAATACTTGATTGTGTTATATGTGTTATAGCCTGTTTAAAGATTTTAAATAAATTTTTATATTTATTATTTTCTAAGAAAAATTCCTAGTAATAATAAATAAATGTTTATGTTGTTGAAATTTAATTGCTTTTAAATTGTATTAATTTTAATATTTGTATTAATAGTGTTACATATTTCTGTTTAATTTTTTTTATGTAAAAATATATATTTTTGTAGATACTATATGCTAAAGTACTAATTAAAGTAGAAAAACCAATTGAATATCTCAGGTAAAAAAGGGTAAGAATTGTTTTCAATGGTCTTATTTTAAGAAATAATGAGTATGCCCAATCATTTTTAAATGAAAATATGGTAAATTTTTACTATTATTTAATATTTTATTTAAATTTAACTTAGTAAATCAAATTGTTATCTCATTTTTAATTTTTGTAATAATGAACAGTTTTTATTTTTTGGTGATGCTCAGTTCAATATAATTATACCAAGCAATAATGCAGCAGTTAACTGCTGATTGGCATTTCAAAAGTCATTTTATTTTGAAAATTCCAATTAGCAATTATTACTCTTAATTATTTATTTTTTAATTATAGATTTACAAATTCTAAATTGAATCAAGATTAATATAAAATACTGTTGAATACATTCAATTTTTAAAACCTTCATAAAAATGTATTAACTATATTTTAAAAATAATAGTATAGTGCAACCATAGACCTAATATATAATATATTATATAATAGGTCTATGAGTGCAACACAAGGCCGTATCTAGAGGGCTCCAGGGTGTCTGGGCCCCCCCGAAAATTCTTCAATATTTTACAAATGTTTAAAATACTTACTTATTTTTAATACCAGTATATATATTTTTAGTCTAAAATGACTTAAGCTCCACTTAATCATTGATTGCTTTTAATTTTATATCATAATATCATATGAAAATATGATATTAATTTTAATAAAAGAAGATCAAGGGGGCTGGAGCGCTGCATGTTTTAAGGAATAATATTTAGGCAATTCATATTACAAGTACATTTTGAGTGTATCGATGTGTGAGTAGTAAATGAACATTAGTGTGTGTAATCCGTTAACGCATTATTGTTATTATCTGTTGTCGCAAATGACCAGCGACTAAAATACGAATTCCCGGAACTACAATAATAATCAAACATTTTATCTTTATACTATATTAATTTACTTATCCGGCACATCTGTTTTGATGATTCAACAATACAATTTAATACCATAATAGTTCATGTAAATTGTAAATATAAAATATTATACATAAAAATCAAATAATCAATTTTCAAAAAGGTAATACATTTTGAGGCAATGCGGCAAATTGGAGCTACAACCGTATCCAGTTAGGACATGACCAAAGCCTGCAAGTATCGTGAACAAATGAATGAAGTTTACACAAAAATTACAATAAATGTTGTACTTGTAGGTAATAAGATTGAGTACATTATTTTGTATTTATTACCATTGATGACCAACTACTATGTATTATAGACTATAGTCTATGCTTTTTACACATACAAATTTTTTAGACCATAAATTAAAATTTAGTGTTGTTTAATTTTAATGTATGGTAAACTTAAAAAAATCAAATTAATAATAAACTAGAACAAACAATTTTTTATGTTTGTATATTTTTAATGTTTTATTTTAATTCTTCTTTTATTAACTTCTTCAACAGAAAATCCATATAAAATATGGTGAGCTGAGACACCATTTTTTCATTCCAAAAAGTATCGTCTCTTTTATTTTTTTCGAATAAAACCCTATAAATTATAAATTAATAAATGTAAATAGGTAATTAATTATAAACTATTTATACAAATTGATTAAATACCTTTTGGTGTCCAAATACAAAAAAAAACAATACATTCTACGCAGTAGCGTAGATACAATTCTTTTCGGGGGGGGGGGTGTTTAAGAGTAAGTTTTTAAGTGTTCGTAGTATATCTTAAAACGAGATCATATATAATATTACATTTAAAATAGTGTTATTATGTCCCGTATTAATGAAAATTATTTTGTTATTCAATTTTTAATATATACCTAATCATAGTAAAATCAAAATATTTTACTATAATATATAAATATTAATAAATAATAATCAAATATCAATAAAAAAAAATCTGTTGGGGGGGGTGGAAACCCCTTACACCCTCCCCGTAACTACGCCACTGATTCTACGAGCAATGTGAAGTTGACCCTGCACTTGATAATAGTAGTTATCTGTTCTATTCAAATGCAATTTTTCATTTATTATTTTACAACTTTTAATTTTTTTATTATTGATTCCTTCTTCTGGCGTAATATCTTTGGCACTTGCTGGGCATTTTATTTCAACTAGTGAATCTGATCCAATCAAACCATCAGGCGATGCAGCTAGGAATGGGTGATTTAAATCTATTATCAATCCTGATGATACAATTTTTTTATTGATTTTGTTTTCCAGTTGTTCAATGGCAATCATTTCATGCTCTATCCCGTACCGAGTAGCTGCATTACCTTTAAATGTTCCAAATAATATTTGGTTTATGATATTAATACGTAAAGTAGATTCTCGTAATTTGTATATTTTTCCGAATAATGACGCTGTTAGTCTATACAATCAAAAACAAATTAATTAATGAAAAATAATTGTAAGATATAAAATATGTTATTTATAAATTCAATAATATAAGTATGACAGTACCAATCGCTTTTTACGTTCTAAATGCCACTCATTACATTGATGTTGTCTTTTTGTTCTATCTTCCAACGTCCAAATTTAATTTTCTGTTAGTTTTAAACTTATTTAAAAACGTGGTTTCTAATTGACAGTACTCAGTGTTTGTTAAATTCAACAATGGGTCATGATCATTCATTACATTCCCATATTCTTCATCGGGTCCGGCAGACATATTTTTGGTTGATCTATTTATAGCAGTACTAAAAAGACGGCGACGTCTTCTCTGACAATTTGATAATAAATGATTACAATAAACTTTTTTGTCTAGACAACTAGTTCAAAAATTGAATCAATAACACGTTGTAATAATACTCATCTATTCATCATTCATCAATACTTTTGATAACCGTATAGTCATAGGCGTGCGCAGGGGGTATGCAGGGTATGCCGCTGCATAGTCTGCGGCTTCATGTGAGGGGCCCAGTGGCGTAGCCAAGGGGAGAGGGCTAAGGGGGCTATAGCCCCCCATGGGCCGTGTTTATATGTATAATGTATCTTGACTATTTAATAGAATCAATGGATGCTCGTTTTAATCAAAGGCTTATTGATGTTATGCCACTTGAAGGACTTATTCCGGCCAATTTAAATATGTATGACGATAAAAATATTAGAAAAACTGCTAAAATATATGTCCAAGATCTCCATGATGATACCTCATCTACAATCAGAGCTAACCTGTTCATATGGAGGCAACAATGGAGTCAAAATACTATTCCAAAACCGAATTCTGCTCTTGATTCACTCTCTCATCACACCAATTTTCGACCTAACATTAAAATACTTTTACAATTATTCGCCACGTTACCAATTACCTCTTTCACTCCGGAAAGAACGTTTTCAGCACTTAATCGCTTAAAAATTTTTTTAAGAAGCACCATGTCGGAAAACAGACTGAATGGGTTAGCTATGGCTAATATAAATAAAAAAGAGCAATTCGATGAAAGTGAAATAATAACTGAATTTGCCAGAAATTCGCCTAAGAAGATGCAGCTGTCAGAGTGGAGCAAGTGACTGAACACTGAAACTAAAATTATTATTATTATTATTATAAATTATATATTAATAAATATTTTTAAAACTATACTAAAATGATTGAATTACGTTTAGAAACTCGGTGGTAGATGGTGAGAGGGGGGGGTAAGGCTGAATTCTCATATCCTCTCTTACCTTACTTATCCAAAAAAGTAGTTAGCCCCCCCCATTTAAAAATCCTGGCTACGCCACTGGAGGGTTATTTATTATTAATAATATTTATTATTAAGTTAAGAAACTTTAAATTTAAATACCGCCACAGGAAATTTAAATCAATTAAAGCTTGATAGTAATGATACTTCAATATTGAAGGAAAAATTTAATTTGAATACTACATTTGAGTCTGAAATTAAGCTCATTACAAATATGTCTGATAGAACTTCTATTAGAAGGTTATCAACTAAAACAATTGTAGTATGGCTGAATTGGTTATCAGAAAACGACCGGAAAACAATATTTTCAAACTTCAATAAAGCTTTAACACAATTTGCAACAATACCTGTGACAAGCTGCTCGTGTGAGAGGGATTTTTCTAAATTGTCTATTGTAAAGTCTAAACTTAGAATCTCTATGTTACAAGAACGTCTTGATTCACTGATGTTAATATTTATCGAGCAAAAGATGGCATCAGAAATCAATATTGAAGATGTAATAGATGAATTTAAAGCATGTGTGCCGATAAAAAGAAAACTTGAACTTTAGATTTTAAGTACTCTCCATAAAATAACAACATTATAAATATGTTAAAATTATTCAAAAGCATTCAATATAGTACATACTTGATCTTAAATAAATGATAAATTTTTTTTTAATAAATATAAATCAAATTTTAAACTACTTATTTCTACAGTGCATTGTTTAATATTCTACTGTAAAATTATGTGTGATTTTAGATTCTAAGGGAAGTAAAGAAAAGCTACGTAGTTTATATGCAAAAACTTAGATTGTGACTTGAATCTTATATGCGTTAAAAGAAAATGCAAATAAATTAAGGGAAGATTAGAAAATGTATTTGTGAGGGGCCCTATATTTCTTATTGCATAACCTATGAATAAAGTCTGCGCACGCCTATGCGTATAGTAATAGAATGCGATATGATACAATATTATACTCGTATAATAATTGTAAATTGGAATCCACAAAACAACAAAAATAATTTCATAGTACCGCGGTGGGGCGCTATCGCTTATAATATTATTATTATTATAGTCTATTTTATGATGTGTACAAAATTAGTTTTATAATAGGTCGACATTAAAATTATCAGGTCGCGGCTCTAAACCG